TCCATCCATCCATCCATCCATCCATCCATCCATCAACAACAACATTGTGTTTGTTAAGTTTGCTTCTACAGACTGATATGTTAAGTTTGACCTGGTCACTGCATTTGTAATCCAGAGTGGTGGCAGCTTGCTTTCTTTCTTTGCCAAATTCCTCATGTTTCCTCCCCAGTAATTGGTAGAAAATGATCATGGTTGACAGCAAACAAATACATAAACTGTCAGCCTTGCTGAATATCAAAGTGTTGCACTACATCCTGTCCAAGAAAGCAAGCCAGCGGACACAAAAAACGATAATAAATCAAGTCCATGGAGCAAACAATGACCCTGTCTGTAAGAGTGGCCAAAAACTGACAGGGGCTTTAAGAGCTTGTGTTGGTGTCATCTCTTGAAAAGGAGGATCTGATGGTTGTCAGGGTCACCCTGTGGTGACGGATCCCCTAGGCCTTGGCCTGAATTGAGGCTTTTGATGCTCTTTGACTGCCCTCCCATCTCACAGCGCCATAGCATTGTAATTCTTTGGAATAACACACTGCTCTAAATAGATTGTGGACACTTTTCAAGTAGGCGAGCAGAGCCGCCAGATCTCCAGGATACCGGAAACCACTTGAGCTCAAAAAGTCAGTAGATGGACCCCAAATTTCACCTCAGGGACGTCTCTGTGTGTTAAAGTCTGAAGATGAAAAGCTGCACAAAGGAGTTTTTGATTCTTCTAAATTTAGTTTGGACTCCAACTATGAAAACATCTGTGATGGTAAAAGCATACAAGGACTTGTTTTTAACTTATTCTTCCCATTGTGTCTTTCTAATCTTTGAGCTTTTATAAACATGTAAAAATGTGAATATTTGTTAGTATAGCTTACAGACATAAAAGAAAGTAAACTCTGTGTCAATTGTATGGTTTTTTATATCAGGGCATTTTCAGGACACACAAAAAATATCTACTGTACTCTATTGCAGGTTTTAAAATGAAGTAAATCCAGCCAAAGTTAGGCAGATGGCCTCACATTTGTCTCTAGAATACTTTGATATAGAGAAGATTTTGTGGTCCACTCAGTGAGTGGGAGGTGCCCAGGGCCTGTGGCTGCAAAACAATCCCAAATAATCAACTTCCACCGCCATGTTTCACAGTTGATATGAGGTGTTGACCAAAAACAGTAAACCAGGTGCAGATCTACTGTGTTTGGTTTTGTGCATTATGGCAAAACATCACATGGACAAAGGTTTGGCTACACCCAGGACAGGTTGTTAGCCTGTTGCAAAGGTAACACACAAAGAGAGAGAAACATTTACACAAATACAATATACACATTGTTACAACCTGCATAATATTATGTTGGTCCCTCTTCTGCTGCCAAAACAGCCTTTATCTGTCAAGGCATGGACTCCACTAGGCCCCTGAAGGTTTGCTGTGGTATATGGCACCAAGATTTTAGCAACAGAGCCTATAAGTCCTGTAAGTTGTGAGATGGGGCCTCCGTGGATCAGACTTGTTTGTCAAGTGCATCTGCAGGAATTTAAACCACTCTTGGTTTAAATTAACTCATTTTTTTGTTGTTGTGGCAGGCCACATTATCCTGCTGAAACAGACCACAGCCATCAGCGAGTACTGTTTCCATGAAAGGGTGTACATGATCTGCAACAATACTTAGGTTGGTGATAGGTGTTAAACATCCACATGGATGGTGGAACCCAAGGTTTCTCAGCAGATCATTGCCCAAACCATTACCCTGCTTCCTTCTAGTGATGCACATGCAGCTGGCCAGCTTTGTGATTAAGAGAAAACATGATTTGTCAGACTAGGCCACCTTCTTCCATCACTCTGTGGTCCAGTTCAGATGCTCACATGCCCATTGTTCATGGTTTTGCCAGTGGACAGGGATCAGCAAGGAAACCTTGACTGGTCTGCAGCTATGCAGTCCCGTACCGCACCAAGTGTAATGGACTGTGTATTCTGACACCTTTCTATCAGGAGCAGCATTAACATTTTTCAGCAATTTCAGCGATAGCTCGTCTGTTGTATCAGACCACATGGGTCAACCAATGAGCCTTTGCCGCCTATGATGCTGCTGGTTCATCACTGTTTCTTCTTTGGACCACTTTTGACAGATATTGACAACTACAGACCGGGAACAACCCACAAGACCTGCAGTTCTGATGATGCTCTGACTCAGTTGTCTACCATCCAAATTTGCCCCCGTCAGACTAACTCAAATCCTTGTGGCCATTTTTCCTGCTTCTAACACATAAACTTTGAAAACAAAATATTCAATTGCTCCCTAATATATCCCACCTACCAACAGGTGCCAGCATGCAGTGATAATCAGTGTTATTCCTGATTGGTACACATACAGTGGGGCAAAAAAGTATTTAGTCAGCCACCGATTGTGCAAGTTCCCCCACCTAAAATGATGACAGAGGTCAGTAATTTGCACCAGAGGTACACTTCAACTGTGAGAGACAGAATGTGAAAAAAAAATCCATGAATCCACATGGTAGGATTTGTAAAGAATTTATTCGTAAATCAGGGTGGAAAATAAGTATTTGGTCAATAACAAAAATACAACTCAATACTTTGTAACATAACCTTTGTTGGCAATAACAGAGGTCAAACGTTTACTATAGGTCTTTACCAGGTTTGCACACACAGTAGCTGGTATTTTGTCATGTTGGAAGACCCAGCCTCGTTTCATCTTCAAAGTTCTCACTGATGGAAGGAGGTTTTGGCTCAAAATCTCACGATACATGGCCCCATTCATTCTGTCCTTAACACGGATCAGTCGTCCTGTCCCCTTGGCAGAAAAACAGCCCCATAGCATGATGTTTCCACCCCCATGCTTCACAGTAGGTATGGTGTTCTTGGGATGCAACTCAGTATTCTTCTTCCTCCAAACACGACGAGTTGAGTTTATACCAAAAAGTTCTACTTTGGTTTCATCTGACCACATGACATTCTCCCAATCCTCTGCTGTATCATCCATGTGCTCTCTGGCAAACTTCAGACGGGCCTGGACATGCACTGGCTTCAGCAGCGGAACACGTCTGGCACTGCGGGATTTGATTCCCTGCCGTTGTAGTGTGTTACTGATGGTGACCTTTGTTACTTTGGTCCCAGCTCTCTGCAGGTCATTCACCAGGTCCCCCCGTGTGGTTCTGGGATCTTTGCTCACCGTTCTCATGATCATTTTGACCCCACGGGATGAGATCTTGCGTGGAGCCCCAGATCGAGGGAGATTATCAGTGGTCTTGTATGTCTTCCATTTTCTGATGATTGCTCCCACAGTTGATTTTTTCACACCAAGCTGCTTGCCTATTGTAGATTCACTCTTCCCAGTCTGGTGCAGGTCTACAATACTTTTCCTGGTGTCCTTCGAAAGCTCTTTGGTCTTGGCCATGGCGGAGTTTGGAGTCTGACTGTTTGAGGCTGTGGACAGGTGTCTTTTATACAGATGATGAGTTCAAACAGGTGCCATTCATACAGGTAACGAGTGGGGGACAGAAAAGCTTCTTACAGAAGACGTTACAGGTCTGTGAGAGCCAGAGATTTTCCTTGTTTGAGGCGACCAAATACTTATTTTCCACCCTGATTTACGAATAAATTCTTTACAAATCCTACCATGTGGATTCATGGATTTTTTTTTCACATTCTGTCTCTCACAGTTGAAGTGTACCTCTGGTGCAAATTACTGACCTCTGTCATCATTTTAAGTGGGGGAACTTGCACAATCGGTGGCTGACTAAATACTTTTTTGCCCCACTGTATGTATAGGACATTTTCAAACATAAACAGAGACCTGGGATGCGTGTGCTAAAAATATGCAGATTTTTTGAGTAGATTTAAAAAATATTTGACAGTAAATAAAATACATGACACTCCAAATAATGTCCCATAAAAATCAGAAAACAGCTGTTATGTAGGTGTGCTGTGGTTTTTAAAATTCATGGAATCGCTGATCTAAAAGATTTTTCCTTATTTTTGTCTCTCAACAACAGTGCAGTCAGAGCTCAGAATCACAACAATAAAGGTACCTAATCTGGCTTTGCATATCTTTGTGAATACAAAATTAAGTGTGAAATAAATCCCACTGACTTTCACATCGATTCTTTCAGCAAGAGCCGTATGTGATGTCCAAAGGTGCTCAGCTGGAAGGCTTTTGCGTGGACCTGCTCTCTGAAGTAGCCAAGAAAGTGGGCTTCAAGTACAAAGTGCAGCTGGTGAAAGATGGCGCGTATGGTAGACAGGAAGAGAGCGGGAACTGGAACGGGATGGTTGGAGAGGTGGTGAGAGGGGTGAGCAGCAAAGCACTCTCAAAAGAAGAAGTGAATATGTGGTGTTTTTGAAAAAAAATCAACATGACTTTAAACCTAACTATGTTAAGAAGTTCCAATAAAGTATCCACATTATATATCCAAACTAGCCAAATATATTTTTATCCTACAGGAAGCAGACCTCGCTATTGCTCCGCTGACTCTCACTGCAGCTCGGGAGAAAGCTGTGGGAATGACCAAACCATTCATGCAGACGGGAATCAGTATTCTGCTGAGGAGGGACGTTTCAGAGGATGCAGGCTTCTTTGATTTCCTTTCCCCTTTCTCAGCACAGACCTGGGTTGGCATACTCATTGCCTATCTGGGGACGGCTGCTTGCATCTTCATAGTTGCCAGGTTGGTCATGAAAGCAGTTCTTTAAAGTGATTATTATGATTCATTTAATAATGATTGATTTAAGTTCTTGAGGGTTTTTGAGGTTATATCTGTATTCCTTCGGGCAGTGGGTTACTCTGAGTGCTGTCTCATTAACAATTAACACCTTTGATCCAAATTGCAGACTCAGCCCTTCTGAGTGGAGTCAGCCTCAGAGTGAGAAAAACACGTTCGGTCTCCTCCACAGCCTTTGGTACACAGCTGGAGCTCTGACTCTTCAAGGTTAATGGCAAATCCAGACACCACCTAATCCAATAAGCATCTGAACAACAAACAAGTGAACATCTCTCCCTTTTGTGGCATTTGTTGAGCCTTTTTTGTGTTTCAGGTGCCGGCCCTCATCCCAAAGCCCTTTCGGGGCGTGTCATCTGCAGCAGTTGGTGGCTATTTAGCGTTGTCCTCTTGGCTTGCTATTTCTCCAACCTCAGCTCCACTAAGACCCCAGAGTCCTCTCACCTGATGGTGAAAGGGTTTGAGGACTTGGCCAATCAGGATGTGATTGAATATGGCTGCCTGGCTGGCTCTTCCACACTTGCTTTCTTTAAGGTGAGTACTGCAGCCCTAAAGTGTCTAGTTCAGCTGGAATTAGAGAGCTTTTCTCTCTAAGCTATTCTTTTTTCTTCATTTAGAATTCAAACAACCCAGTGTACCGCAGAATCTATGAGCACATGGAGCGGACAAAGAGTTTTGTGTCGAGTATGGATGAAGGCATTCGACGTGCAAAAGAGGGCAACTACGCCTTCATTGGAGAGTCTGTTTCTCTGGACTTAGCCGTAGCGCGTTACTGTGAACTAGTCCGGGCGCATGAAGTCGTTGGCATGAGGGGATACAGCATTGCTGCTGCTCTTGGTGAGGTTATTTATTTTTAAACTCTAATTAAACAGTTAAGTTTAGATGAAAGATGGTAAAATCAAATTCAGCACATAACCCAAAACTATCATTTTTTTCCTCAAAGGTTCTCCAATCATAAAGAACCTCAGTGTGGCAATCCTACAACTAAGTGAGGCAGGGGAGCTGGCTTACTTGCGAAGCAAGTGGTGGGCAAGCAGCTGCATAGCAGACAAGGGCAAGGTGTCAGCTGTGCAGCCGCATAACCTCAAGGGGATATTTCTGGTGCTTTCCCTCGGCCTTGGGCTGGGAACAATTGTGGCTGTCCTGGAGCTGACCTTCAAGAGTCGCAGGCGTGCAGCAGAGCACAAGGTACGTGCAAGGTTGTTGCAACTCACATGTCTCAAGTGAAACAGTGTGTGTGTGTGTTTATTCTTTAAGATTTTAAATGAATTGATGATTTTTTTTGGCTGCGGCAGTTCTTCTGCCATTAGAAGATTGTTTTTTTATTGGTTGCAACATTGTCATTTATTACATGGATTTTAGAAAATACAGATGACTGGGATGCCTACCCATCCATTCATCTGTATTTGCATTAAACTAATAGGTGGAATAAAGTGTTTTTGTTGCACTGGTGTTAATCTTGATTGCATGTCCATCCCACAGAAGACATGTTGCTCTGTACTGACTGAGGAGCTGAGTCTGCGCTTGAGGACCAGCAGTGGGAACAGATCCCAGGAAAATGTAGATAAAGACAAGGAAAAGGCATAGAAGCCTTTGGAAGATTCAACTACTATGAAACGTTTAGATTTTAGAGCTTTTTATGTTTGATTTAATTATTGTTTTCCATTTGGCTTGATAACACTTGATAACTTTGTTCACAGAATTTACAGAAATATTAACTCAGTAGACTGTAAACCTTATTATTTACCTTATTATTTACATTTGAACTAAAATGTAAAAAAAAGTCCAACTTTTTCAGATATATAAATTACTGATTTTTCAGTACAACTGCTACTCTTTCAATGAAAAATCAAACACTTCAGTATAAAAAAACGTTTTTAATTTCAGTTTACACTTGTAAACTCAACATTTTGCTAACAAACTGTGCACATGTTTACTTTCTAGGTTTACTGCTTGCAACTCTGCATCATGTATTTTGTACACTTGGCAGTGGCATCATGTGACTTCAGCAATTTCTTTTTAAAAACTACTTCATGCATAAAAACTGGGATGATTGTAAACATTTCAGCAAGATTAGAAAAGAAATAAAAAAAAACATCTAACAGTGTTTTAATGCTTTGCGTCGTCCATCATTCTAGAAAGAAAAGCTACATATCTGACACATATCACTCCACCATCACCATCATTCCTCTTGTTTCTTGTTGTTGATCCTTTTCTTTTTTCAGGATGACCTTGATCTCTTCCTGTCACAAATCTAAAAATCACAAAAACAGTAAAGAACAAAAAGGCTGATTACATAGAGCCACTTAGCTTTTGTAATCAAACTTCTTTTCATTCTTTTGCAAATGTGACTCACCATCTAGAAAAAGCGGTGATTTACAGCGGATCTCCCTCATCTTCTGGTCAAAGAGGGCCTTCATCTCTCTCTGCAGTGTCCCTTCGTGTTGCTCTGACCCAGTTGATGAGGGCGGGGGCACAAAGTCTAGGCTGTCGGTGCTGCTGTCGCTGCTGCTGCTGGACGTGGTGTCCAACAGGCAGAGACCGTTGGGTATGCGTCTCACAGGGTTGCCGTAGCTGCTGTAGTTTTGAGCTCCGCGCGTCTGACAGTGGAAAGTAGGCTTTCGGTTCAGCATCGGTGTCTGAGCAGAGGTAGTCTGTTTTCGAGGGCAACTGCGTGAGCGGCCCTTTGTCCTTATTGGGGTGGATGGCCAGGGGGTCACGGGAGCTTCTAAAGTCCGTCTAACCCTTGCAGGGGATGATGGAGGGACAAGAGGAGAAGGTTTGGCTTCTGGCTGTGGCACGAGTGGAGGCTGAGGGACTGTGTCAGTCTGACTCTGAGCTTCTGGCAGTGGCTCAGGCTCTGTGGCAATGTCATTGCCTGGTTTTGATTCTGGTGGTAATTCCTCAGGTGGTTCAGGCTGCTCTGACTCTATCTGCTGCCCAGCACAGTTGGACTGTTGTAATTCACTGGGGTCATTTTCCAGCTCCTCTTGAATTACTGGATTTTGGCTGTCTGGAGCAGGACTGTCAGGAGAAGAAGTCTGGGAAGAGGTCTCAAGGTCAAAGCTTTCAGCTATCACGCAGGGAGCAACCCCAGTGTGCTGGGAGTCAGTGGAAGACATCCGGCTAAAGATCCCTCTCTTTGTCTCTTGTGGTTCAAGAATTTTAACTCTGTGAGCTCGCCTGACAGGTTCACTCATGGCCCCTTTGTGGATGGCAGCCTTGGCTGCGGGCCCTTGAACCAGATGAGACGTTTCCCCACTCCTGCTGTCCTGAGAGATGGTGTCCAGATCTTTGCGGAAGTACAAAGCGCGTCCATCTTCTGAAGACTGGACAGAAAAATCTAGAGATGGCTGCCTTTGATGGCTCTTCATATGCTTCTGGGCTGCTTTTTGGATGTGTTTCCTAGCTGCTTGCACAGCATTTGCTGGTTTGATCTGTCACACAAAGGAAATCAGAAATCATAAGATAGAGTTGTCAGGTGAAGATGATCTTAGATCTGTAAGTGTATTTTATAATGCCATACCTTTCCTGCCATGTCAATAATAGCGACATGAACAAAGATCGATGATTCTGCCATTTCCTCCAGGTAGACATGGCGGTAACCTGCGAACAAGCACACAAACAAACAACAGGAAAAAAATTATTTAGATTTGAAATCTTTTATTTGGCATCTGTACACTTACACTGGGTTTGGATATGTAGGACATCTTGTGGAGAGCTTAGAGTCAGAGACAAATGAATGCCAACATAAAACAGAATGCGCACAGAGGTAAAGTCAAGACCAGAGTTATCTTAGTTTTGTTTATGAATTAGTTTTTGTTTTTTCTGTTTTCACTTTTTGCTTTCAGTTTAGTTTAGTTTAAAATAGTCTCAGGGTTTGTTTGCTCACTTCAGTTTAGTTTTCACTGGTTTCAATCTTAGTTTTAGTCTTTATTAATTATTGTTGTATTGTGGAGAGAAAGTCAGAGGAAATTTATATTATAGGAAAATCAGCACAGGTATTACAATAAAAGCACAGAACATTTTGAAAGCTGTTGAAGTATTTTAGACATCCAGTCTCAATAAATACATCAAAGTCTCATGAGACAAGTTTTCATAATATTTCCACCAAATTAAAAAATGCTTCAACTCAAGATATTTGCTCTATTTTTATTTTACTCTAGTTAGATTTTCAAGTCCACAAAATTACTTCAGAATTTTTTTTTTGGAAAGGACAATATGTCAGGTAATTTCAAGTATAAAAACAGTATTTCCTGTATTAGGAAAGAAGCTGCTGTGGAAGCGTGTGAGATCAGACCGTCCGCTCTGCTGCCTCTGATGGTTTATGCTAATTGTTTTGGTCTGAGGGGGGTGTGATCTGGACTGGATGATGACAATGTGTTGTGCTCTTTTCTTGCACCGTTGTGTGTATATGTATATAAGTCCACTGATGGAAGCTCAGTCCTTATATTCTTTCACTTTTTTAACACGTAAGGACTCAAAACAAATCTGCAACACTGGCAAGGACAAACAATCAAATTCATAAAGTTTTGCTCAATCGCTTTAGCACGTTTCTCATATTTTTGATGTTCTGAAGATGCATTTCCCAAATGCCTCATAGTTAAAACAAAACACTAATGATACTCTGCAGAAAGTGGGAAGTTGTCCTAAATCTTTAATTTATTTGTAAAAATGAAGTTTTTGCAACACTGAAAAATTAATAACCTTTCAAAAGGCAACAATTTTAACAGAATAAAGGAGTATGCTTTCAGAAGTATAACTTCTGGAACCAAGCAAACAAGTGTACAGGTACTCCACCTGGCATCATGCTGGTAAAAGCTACAGTCCTCTGTCCAATGAAGTCTCTTCCAATAGGATCGTGATCCCACACCTGGAATCGCACCAGGGCGATTTGAGGCATTTGAATGTTGAAGACGAGGGTTTCCTCCCACATTGGGTTGAAACCTGAAAGAAAGGAATGTCACCAAGACTGAGAAACACAAAGTCAGCTTGGCTTGGAGTGATTTAAACTGCAACGTGGAGCTTTACACGTACCGTTATCATGCACTACTCTAGTCTGCTGCTTGGAGCAGTCAACAGGTAGGCCGATGATCTCGACTTCAACAAAGGGATCAATTATCTAAAAAAAGTCCAAGAAAAACTTGACTTTAGTGTTAAAAACGTATTTTTGTTGAACTCTTTGACTTTATATCTACTGTATTTTGACCTGACCTCTCCTCTGTCCCCAAACATGGAGTCTTTGGGTTTAGGAAGTTGCTGTCCACTAATGATCTTCAGCACTAACTGAGTTTTTCTGTGTCCTGGCAGGGGCTCCTCCAACACTGGGTTAAAGGCACCTTATGAAAAGCAATAGTATTTATTAGGTGCTGATCCGGGATTCATTGCTCTTCACTTTGTAATCTGCAGAAATCTACTAAGTGTGAGTGAACACCACGTACCTTTACACATGCACTTGGGCTTCAGAATATATCCACAGTTTCCATTGCTCGAGAACTTGGCTTGGTTCAGTTCAAGCATGCGACCTTCTGTTTGATAATTCATAGCAACTAAGATGAAACAGCAACGTGACAACAAGTTAACAAGTTAACAACAAACAGTATCATATAACGCTAGTATTGAGTTTTAGTGACACTTTTGTTACCCATATGGCATCCTGAGTTCCAGTATGATTGTGGGTTGAAGTTGCTTGAGTCCACTCTGTAGTTGGATGGATAGACTCTTAGAAGCTGGCGCTGGTTGAAACGCACCAGCTCACCCGGTTTAAGCTGTAAGATCTGGTTCATTACTGTCTCATCCAGGGATGATACCTGCCAACTGCTCATGAATGCTGCCAAAAAGAAAATTAAAATGTATGAGACACTCACTCTGAAAAGTTTCTATGAGTTGGGATGTGCTTAGTGAAAACAAAAATGCAGGCAAAGGTTTCTAGTTGGATTTACCTTGTGTTTCTATGTCATGCACACGGACAGATTTTGTGTATTTGACTAGATCAGAGAGAGCTCGGGAGAGCCTCATTGTTTTCCTTTTTCTACGGAGACAGAGGGAATCATATAAGTGTAATCCCAGAGATGATAAAGTTTAGATTGTCAGCTGTTTTTGACGTTTAGTAACGGGTCTTACTTAGGATGGTAAACAATTTGTGTCCTCTCCCTGCTGCTGCTGTAGTCTGATTCACCATCAGACATGGCCTTGTTTTTCACTCGTATTCTCTTTTTTCTCTGAAAGAAAAAAAAAATCTAATATTTTAAGTCAAAGTCACCCAAAAGGAAAGCTGTCAGATATTGTTTTTATATCAGCTGACCTTTCTTTTGAAGCTTCTCATGATTGATCTCCCAAATCGTCTCTTCTTCTTAGGCTGATTAGTAGAGTTAACGCTATTCCCATCCTGAAAAGTTCAAATTGCAATCTTACTATATTTACCTTCTTTCTTACTTACTTTGTTTCTTTCTTTCTGTTTAAATGTTTCATTTGCCTGTGGGTTATCATCGTCATCATCGTCCTCTTCTTCCTCATTTCCAGTGTCTTCATCAGACACATCACCCTCCTCCACATCAGGATCAAGGTTTGCTGGCAGCTTCTTCCCCTAAAAACAGAGAATTAACAATCGCTTTGTGTGTGTGTGTGTGTGTGTGTGTGTGTGTGTGTGTGTGTGTGTGTGTGTGTGTGTGTGTGTGTGTGTGTGTAATAATATACATATAATAATTTATTTTGTAAACTGCCAAGGATCTGCCAAGGACAATGATAAAGAAAGCACAAAGCTGCACTCTTTCTACTTGCTGTGTGCAGTTTGTAACCTACACAAGTACTGTGTGGGTTACACATCACTGCATGAGGGATAGTGATTGCAACAGACTGGACAGGGTTTACATTTACACCTTCGTGTTGTGTTGACAGACTTTGTTACAGAAAAGAAAAAAGACAGTTTTCAGCATTGTGTCTCACAAAGGGAAATGAACACACCTCAACATCTGCAGAGTCACATTCCTGAGATGTAATGTGAATGAGAGTCTGTGGCCTCACAGGCGCTAAAAGTTACATCATTGTAAATTGTTTTTGAGCTAAACGTGAACAGTATTGCTTAATTTCAAATTTCACCA